CCTGAGCTGGCACTGGGGACACGGTGAGGGTTGGTGTGGCCCAGGGTGTCCCCCTGTCCCTGAGCTGGCACTGGGGACACGGTGAGGGTTGGTGTGGCCCAGGGTGTCCCCCTGTCCCTGAGCTGGCACTGGGGACACGGTGAGGGTTGGTGTGGCCCAGGGTGTCCCCCTGTCCCTGAGCTGGCACTGGGGACACGGTGAGCTCAGGGTGGCCCGCAAGTGTCACCTTGTCCCCGGCGAAGGGTGGTGGCAGCACCCAGTACAGGACACCCCGCGGCAGGTCCCGGAAGGTGTCGAGGAGCAGCTCCCGTGGGGACACGAAGCGGGGCACAGCCCCTGGCAGGGGGGTGCCCGACACGTTGGCCAGGGGCAGCGGGGCAGAGTCCTCCGAGGTCAGCAGCACCTGGGGAGGGAGCATGGTGGGCACAGCATGGCGTGGCATGGCATGGAATGACACGGTATGGCACTACATGGCATGGCATGGCACGGCATGGCACTATATGGAGTGACACAGCATGGCATGGCACAGCATGGCATGGCACTACAAGGAATGACATGACACTACCTGGCATGGCATGGCACTACACGGCACAGCGCTACATGGCAGGTATGACATGGCACTACATGGCATGGCACAGCACCACATGGCATAGTATGGCATGGCATGGCATGTCCAGGCAGGGCATGGCGTGGCACATAATGCCACATAATGGCAAGACGTGGCATGACATGACATAGCCTGGCATGGTGTATGATGGCACCACACGGCACAGCATGACATGGCATGTCAAGGCACAGCATGGCGTGGCATGGCATGTAATGGCATGGACGACGTGACACACCATGGCACGACATGGCACGACATGGCACGGTGTAGCACGGCATATCATGCCATGACGTGGCACGATGAGGTACAACATGGCACGGCACAGCACAGTGTGGCAGGGCATGGCCTGGCACCACAGGGCACGACACGACAGATCACGACCCATCATCGCATGGCATGGCAAGGAATGGCAGGACATGGCACAACACGGCATGGCACTGACATGGCGTGGCACAGCATGGCACTACATGGTGTGGCATGGCTTGGCGTGACCCAGTATGGCTCAGCACGGCACAACATGGCACGACACGGTACAAGATGGCACAGCAAGGCACAGCATGGCACGACACAGCATGGCGTGACATAGCACAGCACGACACAGCATGGCGTGACATAGCACGGCAGAGCATGGCACATAATGGCATGGCATGGCTTGGTATGACACAGTATGGCCCAGCATGGCCCAACATGGCCCAACACGGCAAGGCAAGTCACAACGCAGTACAGGATGGCACAGCATGGCACACTTGGCACGTTGTGGCCTGGCACGGCCTGGCCTGCCCCGTCCCCCTCACGGTACCTGGTGTCGGTGCCAGGCGGAGCTGGCGCAGGAGCGGGACAGCCCCATGCAGAAGCAGGGCAGGCAGCCCGCGGGGTTGGCAGCGCTCAGGTGGAAGGTGCCCGCGGCACAGGAGTCGCAGAGCCGGCCCCGCACGTTGGGCTGCGGGCACAGGGAGGGGGCAGAGTGAGGGGGCGCGGGGGGCACGAGGATGGGTGCTGGGGGTGGATGGGGTGCCACAGGGTGAGGGTGGGATGGGTGCTGGGGGTCAGAGTGGGGACCCC